TTCTGCAGCCACCGTTGTTAGTCCCTTGGTTCATATTGACTTAAGCACACTTGACATCAATTGCATCAAGATGTGACATGTTTTATAAGAAAAAAGAGAAAAAAAAAAAAAAAAAACCAAACAAAACAAACATTTAAAATGAAAAAAATATTTTTAGGTATTTTCACAAACAAAAACTGGCTTTTAAATAAATTTGCTTCCATAATGGTTGGATATGACAAAAAAGTTAAAAAAAAAAAAAAAATCCAACACAAAAAAAACCCACCAACAACAAAAAATAAGAAAGAAATCTAGACTGCGGAGAAGTGGAATATGAAAATAAGGCTTAAGGCATCAGTTCCATATTTTTCAAAGCCAAATATGTAATGTTGAGAAGAGAAGAAATAATAATTAAGAAGTTAAAAATCTTGTAATTTAATATTGTTATTAAAACTTTGCTGTATATCCTATTCTTTAACATTTGGTGTTAATATAAAATTACTTGGCAATGCTTGACATTTGAAATAAACTTTTTTCTATGGTTTTATTTGCAAGTGTTCCATTAATTTTACTAGTTACAGTTGGGATATAGAGAGCCTGAAATCTAAAAGGACACTGTCAAGGTTGGGTCAATGTTTTCCTTTTTGGCAGTGTCGCCACCCCCAACTCACTTGAATCTGTTCTACAGTTTTTTTCGACAGATGAGCCCAAGCTGTGATGCCCAGATATGCATTTTGAACTCTGAAGATCCAAGGTTGTTCTGGGTTGGAGCGGTACTTGATACCAGCACATGAGGAGTCAGATAGGTGCTGATTTAGAGCTCCTCTTAACTCTGACGTGCAGGGACTTGTGATCCAAAGATTCGGTTCATATCTATCTCTACTTTTGTACAATTGCATTCATAAATACATGTACAGAGAGGGAAGACTATCAGTAAAAATTGATAAGTGGCAAGCAGTAAAATAGTGTTAAATATTTTTTTAAAGTATGAAACAAACATAGTTCTCAAATTGCTACTTTAATGAAGCAGTTTTAAACTGTTAAAAGGTAATTCTAAGCAGTAACTAATAAAGTTCTTTGTTATGAAGAATACCCAAAACCTTGGCAATGTCTTTTTTGAATTAAGATTGATAATAACTCGAATTAGATGCAAGTCTGTACTGATCAAAGTAGAAAAACTTTCCTGAATCTTAATCATTATGAATATTCTTTGCTATCTGAAGTTGCCATATGTTTTAATTATGTGTCTTTTAAAATGATAACTCTACTTACAAAGCAAAAAGGAATCCTAAGAGGGGTGCAATAACATTAATTTAAATGCTAATGCAAATCAAAGCAACATCATATTTCTCTAGCTTTCCCTGTAGATAAAATTCTGTACATTTGATTGAAAAGCTTACATTTTTCTGCATTGTGGATACATTGCCTCATGCAGTATCAGTAAATCTCTATTTTTGACTTAATAAAATTTGAAATGATTTGCAGTTTTAGTTGGAATCCATTTCTTAGGCTGAAGTAAAATGTTTACTGAACATTGGAGAAGACAGAGCATTTGTCAGAAACTTGAAATCCCTTCTTGTGGTACGAGCTCTGAGCCTGTTTCTGCAAGCATGTGAACAAGGTGTATACCTCTCTTGATGACCACACTGAGAGTATACACAGTGTTTTCAGTCAGATTTACCAGTAACTTTCCCGTAATTAAACGAACCTGTTTCTTGACGCATCTGTTATCTGTAGGTGTTCTGTGCATTACTCCTCATCAGGAATGTTGGGGGATGCATTCTGATTTTTAATGTTCAATGCTAGAATGACCAAACTAAAAATATTATTCGTATGGTAATCTAAACTTTTTGAAAAGTAGAATTGCATTACTGTATACAGTGGAAAGCTATTTATTGTACCTCTGGGCTTATTCCTCTAAAAATCGTAGTGTAAAAAAAAACTTTGTCAAGCCTGAACTGATGTATATAACTGAAATAATGTAAAGTTATATTTTCATGTTTTTATACTTAACAACATGATGGGAATACATAATGTATGAGTATTTCAATTACAGATAATATTGATTGGATAATACACATCTCGGTTAAAAAACAGTAATCATAGTTTAATATCCATGTTACAGTACATCAGTATATTACTATATAAAGTATGTCTGTGTGCATTTAAGTGAAAAGTAGTCAAGAGTGATGAAAGCTGTCCAAGGGTTTTTTATTCATTTTATATGAAAACTGTTATGGAACAACCAAAATGTTTATGAACTCAAACTTGTGTAAATTTCAAAATGTCCTTTTACTGTAGCTTTTTGTTTACAGTACAGTATCTTATTTTCTGCTTTGTTAAATGAGTAACGGTACAAAGCTGGACATACACTTTCTAAGACATTAACGTTCCCGTTTTTTCATGTATACCTATATGACAGAAAATGCTTCTGATTTTATTTTTCAATCTAACACATGATGGCTTTTCTGGAGTGTTGTATAAACTTCAATCATACATAAAAAAATCTTCTTAAAAAAGGCAAAAGACCTTTAATGTCTGTTTAGTATTATTGAAATCTGGTTTCTTATTTATTAGAAATATATTTTCCTAAGATTTTACATAGAGAAAACCAGTTTGTCCCCACGGATATGAAATTTCCTTGAAGAGTTTTGCAAGGAGAATATAAATCTACCCCCAAATCATCTTGTCACTCAAGGGTAGATTTACTATAGTTTGCATTATTTCTAAATGTAGTAATGTAGCTTCATGCCAACAATGTAATTGTATTTCTGGAATGTAACCTTCTTGATCATGGTTATAATGGCAGTGTGATAGGATGATAATGCTAGTAGGTTAAGTATCTATTCAGTAACTCTACTTAAAAATTGTCATCTTCAATCAGTATTTTTTTTACTTTAACAGATTGTTGATGTGTCCAAAGCAGAGAAGGAACTTGAGAAATGGGAAGTGGTTTAGGTATATATTAGTAGTGTCACTAGTAGAGATCTAGTGCAACAGAGTTTGCTGTAGTAGCAAACAAATGTGTCTGAATATGTTTGCAATGTGAAAGGTTCAACATTTTTATTTAAGTGTATTACACGTTTTAACAGAGAATGTTTCCAGGCTAGCAGCCTCCTCTTAGATGTAAACAATGTTTTCACATGAAGTACGGTGCACAAATAATTCTGTTTTAAAATACAAATACATGATTTTAGCTGTCATTTCATACAGTTAATTATATTAATACAGTGCTCACCAGCAAAATAGAATCATGAGCAGCTGTTCTGCTTGATATCCCTAGAGGCTACTCAGACCCACTTCACAGTACCAAAGTTTATTGTTTATTAAATCTCTTCATTTAAGCTCTCATGGGATCACAAAAATTTGCTGTGAGAGATCCATCAGGTACAGATTGTCTTAGGAATTCATATTATAGAAATCACTTAATAAAATCCAGCAAGTGATTTAGCTGTGGACTTAACTTTGAACGTTTTTCCTAGCATCATTTTTTGTAGATAATAGAAAGTACTATCTCCCTGTGTGAGGCATAATAAAGTTAGGGAATTTTTGTAAACAAGTGGCAAAAAAAAAAAGAACACAGTAAGATACAACACAAAACTTCTGAGAATCACAGATCTAACTGACTTGCAGCATTTACATGTCTTGAGGCCTTCCCACAGTTAGCCCACTACATGCAGTTAGTTCTAATACATGCTTTTTTAGCTTGGTAGGCAAATAGGAAACATAATTACTGTGTATAATACTTATAATTTAAAAAACTGATTTGGCAGTCATTAAAAATGTTTATTATAGCTCATTGCACATGTCTCTTAAAGAATCAGTGATTATAAAGACGGGAAAGATAGGTCATCTGAGCTAAACCTCAAATTCAAGTGGCATCATCCACTGTGCTGTTCTTCTATCAGTCTCCTTTGTACATCTCTTACTGTTAATCAAAATTTGGCTACCTCTGTAGACAGCTCAATTCTTATCTCAGTGGTAAGAAAATTCTTTACACCTAAAAGAAAATCACTTAATTCCACAGAGTTGTCTAGTGAATGACTTTGTAGCGTTTGCCCAAAGTTCTTCCTCACAATACACTTCCAGCTCTCACTCAAAAGGAAAGGGCCATTACTACGTGCTGTAAGAGCAGAGAAAAAGTTCACATTTCATTATTTTTAACAAATGCTGAATTTTCAAGACTGACTTACCTGTGTTAAAACATTTATTCCTACTAGTCTTCCGACTGAAGACTGTGATTTAAAATATGTATTTAAATTAAAATAGGTTTTATTAATTTGCTGTAAAGATCCCAAACATAATTTTGAAAATGTATCATATAGAATAGGAAAGGGCTGCTCCACATTAGTGCCTAGACCAGCCCCTTGAAATTGTCTTTGGTTAGTTCATATCTTGAGGTGGGAGAAATGCTGCAGAGGAAGAGGTTCCAGTGCATCCCATGAGCTCTCCCAGGACCACACTGCCTCTTTGCATCTTTCCATGCACAGAAGGCAAGCAGGTGACAAAGCTGAAGTAGGATTTGGAGAGGCAGTTCTATGTCATACTTCTGCTGCCCCTCAATCCTAAAGGGTGAAGGACCATCCAAAAGAGGCACCAGAGAGGATTTATCCCTATTTTCTAAGGGCAAAAAATACACTCACAATTGGATTTTTTTCTTTTAAAACCCACTGTTAGTGTAGTTTTCAAATTATAATTCTGTGTTTTAGTTTATGGCAAACAGTTCTTAAATTTGAAAATAAAATCTCTTTCCAGAGTTTGTAATGTGTACACCTACTAGCTTCTTAGAAGGGGACAGCTCAGAGTCCTCCTGGCATGTGCTTTATTGAAACATCAAGAGCATTTTGTTAAAAGTATACTTGGAGGCTTTTATATGACAACCTTTTACCCAATTTTCAAATTGTATTGTTACTGCCTGCCCTTCAGCACCATGTTCTGTGAGGTAAAAGAAAAATGTAATTAAAGAGATCAAGCTATAGCTCTTTCACTTAATAGTATGATTTACAAATAACAATATTTTTCAGTAGGTTTCCTTCTGAGTTTCATTATAAATGACAAACACATTTTGGGTTACCTCATGCACCTAAATAGCAGAATATTCACAGAAATATTTTTTTCTGGTTTTGAACAAGTCAATATTTTTTGTAGTGTCACAATGACTAAAGATACAGTAATACAAACTACCTGATTTTTACTCAGGTGCTTGCTTTTATATTTGTTACTGTTGTTTTTAATAAGTTCACAAAACAGTTGGAACAGTATTTCCATAAATTTGGAACTAAGTGGCTTAGCAGCTAATAGAAGTTACCTGTAGCTGGAATTCATCATTCAGTTTCAGCTCCTATGTGTTAGTAAATAAGCAGAGTTGCTGATATATGAAAATTAAGATTTTGGATGTTGCAGTATATATGTATGTATCCATACATAAATATGGAAATGCAATAGTAAAACTAGTGCTGAGTTTGATAAGGCCATACTCTAAAATGGTGATAAGCATGGCAGTAATTCATACCAGGGCCAGTAGGGAGAGAAGTGTTCATAAACAAGTGCCTTACCACCTTTAGTTTGAATAAATACGGAATCTTACATTTCCATGGGATAGTATGAGTCCCCATGGGACTCCATCAACAGTGAATCCCCTCACTTCAAAATCTGGTGTATCTCCTGTGATCGTCTTTGTTCTCACTGACAGGATTAAGTTCTACAGAACTTCTGTGAGGAAAACAGGCTCTTCCATGCTCCCTTCCGCCTACACAAAAAGGTCAAACGAAAGCTATTGCCTGTGTCATTGCCTCTCACTTGAGCAGCAGAGGTGTTGGGTGTATGTATATACATGTATGTGCTTGATTTTTAAAAATCTCACTGTCTTACCTATTTAAAAATCTACACGAGTGATCCAAGAGGCTCAATTTTAGTCAGATCTAACATGACATGAACAAGGACAAACGAAACATTGCTCTTTGTAAGTTATTACTTGATTTTCTGAACCAAAACCTCTATAAGGAGTCAATACCTCCAGAACAAAATACTGGGCATTGACAGGGCTGGATATTACACTACCTACTTTGGACATTGTGCAATAATATAGACTCCTGCGGTGCTGTGGCAGAATTCTGTCCACATTTTGTATTGTTTTTTTACTGGCATAGATAAATGAGTAGTATAAACTATAGGAAATCACTTTCACAGTGTAGGCTTGACAGACAATTTTCAGGCAATTTCTATTGATTTGTTGTATCTGTGGCATTACCGTGTTCTTTAAATCTGCAGCTTCTGAATATAAAAATAAAGCATGTGATAAATTCATTTTAAAAAGCCATTATCTTCAGTGAGAGCAGGACTTTACTCAACATGTTTTCTTTGTGCTGGTGGCTATGCTTACCTAAAGTGCTTGTTTTCCACAGGAATGTTTTTCACTCCTTTTCACTGCATGCTCTTGCTTGTTCTAGAGGACCTAAAAATATATAAATATATATTTATTTTAGCATTATAGATTCACAATTAGACGTGGGAGATGTTCATCAGTTCTGTTTAGTCCACCTTATAAGCTGCTTTCTATAGGAGATATTTGTTGTTCTATGCTTGTAATTTACTTTTTGATCTTCCATCCTTGGGAGAGATTTTATCAGAGGGAGGGAAAAAAGGTAACGCGGCGTATCCTGCCTGCTGATTTGACGTGTTGCCCGAGTCATTCAGCTGATGAGCGTGTCCAGTGACTCACACCTCTTAAAGAACCTTCCTCAAACGCCAGGGACAAAGGCTGCTCTGGGGAGAGTGAGGTAATACGCGCCGGTTGGATCCTGCCCCGCTGGAGTCCAGGGAAGCTGGGGTGTCAGGGCCGAGCCTGAACCTCCCTGCTGTCTGTGTGCAGTCACGCAGTGATCTCCCCTGGGATCACCACACTGGCAATCAAGCTAGCAAAACTGAATTGTTAGTGGGGTCGGGATGCAAAAACTATATCTACGCTCTGAACATGATGCCAAGGGGGAGAGCTCTCCCTTTTTCTTCCCCTGTCCGTGCTCTCTGAAAAGCCTTTTTCCTTCCCTGAACTGCAGCCACCCATATTTGGCAAATTCAGGATGTAACTTCAGGAAAATTGCATTAATATAAAATAATCGTGTATTTTCTCAGCATAGAGGAAACTGGACATTTACCCTCACTCAAGAAAACTAAGCACAGCCACCTTGACTGGCTGAACAGTTTTATGGAGATTTTTCTCATAGGGCAAAAAATGTTACTACTTTTATGAATTACGGCATCATACATTGTCATAAAAGAAAATGTGTAAGCTTCCCAGTAGACAGGATCATGAGAATGTAGGTGTTTTTTATTTAGTAAGATGCTAGCTAAGATTACGGTATGCGGACATTCTTTCTTTATGCACATTGTAATATATTATGTAAATCAGAGGATTATTGGCTTGCTGAGTGATTTTCCTGTGGTGTCAGACCTGTATAATAATATCTATACAAATAATACAATTATATTAATTTTTTTACTGTTTTAAAGGCTATACTTTGA